ATCACCATCTTCAGTAGAGCCAATGCTGAGATTTTGCAGTACTTAAAGTAATGGTGACTGCAAAACAAAATCACGATGTAATTACATTTCTTATATAAAGCACAATTCAGAATAAAGCTTTTCTGAAGATAAAGAGTAAGTATTGAAGGAATTTACAGCGATGGAAGGGGAGTGTAGACTATGGGGAGAAAAAGTTGAAAAGGATAATTTCTGCAGGGTGCAAACAACAAGCATGCTATAGTTTTGCAACGTATCATCCTTGGGGGAGGGGAAAAGTCTGAAATAGCTTTTTTTAAATGTGCTACTCAAATAAGGGAATAATATGACCAGTTCAATTTTTTTCTCCATTAATTTGGAATCACCCAATCTTGGATTCTGACTGCTTGGATAGTTGTGCCTAACTGTTCTCAGGCCTAACCTCTAGCCTAATGGTTAAGAATGTAAGTTCTGACGTTCATCTGCCAAGGTTTGAATCTTGACATTGCATTCCCTAGCTGTAGCATTGGGACAACCATGTAATATCTGTGCCTAGGTTTCCTTTTCTGTAAATAGGGATAGTCATACTAGTTGTTACGATGAAATAAATGAAATAATGTATATAAAGTGCTTAGTTTAGTGCTTTACACATACTAGAAACCTAGTAAGTGCTAGCTGTCGTTAGCATTATTAATTATTAACCTGTCTCTTAACCCTACTCTCAAAGGACAGTGTGTTGAAGGGTGGGATTCTCTGTATGTCAGCCTCAAATTAAAAAGTAGCTCTAAGATCCTAGTTTCCTATGATCACTATTTCAGAATTTGTCATCAGTAAATTAAACTCTTGAATAAAAGTACATTTTTGTCTCATTGATGCAGTCCAAGATAGCTAGGATGAATATAATTAGAGCCATAATTAGACAGTGAGGCAGGCTGTTTCCAAATATTTAAGAGTACATCAACCTAAAATGCAGCCTGCTACAGAAAGAAGACAACCAAGCAACTTAACCAGCCATAGAGAGCAGTTAGTCAACGTATCTACAAAGCTTTTTTAGATATCTGCCCACAGAAAGAATCCAAATTTAATTCCTAAGCTTTGCCAGATTTCAACCGAAAGCTGAAAAATGTGTAGACTTCATGTTGGAAGTCAAGACATGAATCGAAATCTTGGCTTCTCCCTTTACTGGAGAAAAGAAGAAAGACAAATTACTATGCTCCTCTTACATATATTTTAGAGGACTCTTTTTATACATTATCTCATCTCATCTGTATGACAACACCTATAGGTAGGTCTTATTTACATATTACGATAATTGAAGATGGATAAGTAAATTTCCTAAGGTCAATCAAATAGTGATAGCTGTGAGATTTGAGCTTAGGTCTGACTATTGCTCAGTTAGGAGTTCACTTATCTCAGTGTGATCATAACTTACATAATGCATTTGCTTTTTTTTTTTTTAATTTGTAAAAAAAGGATGGATATACTGTACTGGGTTGTCATGAAGATTAAATGAGGTGGAAATCTCTAGGTAGGTGCATCTGCAATTCACCACTGTGGAATCTGAATACTGAGAGACGTTTCGGCCATACCACCCTGAAAGTGACGGATCTCGTCTGAATACTGAGAGACAAGGCTAGGTCTGTAAAAAAACTGAAGCAGCAGAAGTATGTCCTCTTGTTGACCACAGCTCTCCTTTCTATCTATCCATCAGCTTTTGTGCTCTTTTTACTTTCTCCCAAACACTGCTCTCAGGAAAAGAAAAATATTATGGGTAAAGATCCCTTGACTTGTCACCACTCCCAGGGAAAAATGGACACTGCTAAAGGGCAAAGAGCCTTAAGCTCTAGTTTTATAATATCTGGTTTATAGGAACTGGTGGAGTAACATTTTAGAGACCAGGTAGAGCCTCTCTGTATCTCCGAAATAATTACCAGCAATCAAAAAACTATTATAGGCCCAGGCCTGACGCCTGTAATCCCACCACTTTGGAAGGCCAAGGCGAAAGGAACGCTTGAAGCCAGGAGCTAGAGACCAGCCTGAGCAACACAGCGAGGACCCATTAAGAAAGAAAGAAAGAAAGAAAAATAAGAAAATAGCTCATAGCTATTTTTGAGACCTTGGGCTGCTGACTCGATTTCTGCAAACAGCTGTAGTCTCCAGTTTGGGGTCAAAGACCCAAACAAAGTGCATGCGGACACTGGGTTCAAGGCAGAGTGTGTGGCATATATGACAATACGGATGTTCAGAAATAACAATTTAAATCACCGCTTGTTGTTCTCCTCTTAAATCACCCGGGCGCAAATGGGTTAAAGCGACAAAAAGGGGAGTCAAAGCCCCAGCGGAGGGCTTAGGCTCTACTTGCAGATCCAAGGCGCATATTCTGTCCCCCTCCCCGTGGGTGAAAGCTCTTCAGAACCCTTTCAACTCCCATTCCCTCCGGGTCTCTTAAACTCCCGCCACCCCTTCCCTCCCCTGCGTCTCGCCAGGGACCTCCTCACTCCTTAGTCCAGGGCTTCGCCGCCAGGATTTCTTGCTGCTGTTTCTTGTCGTATTTGTAGATTTCATCGATACTCTGAGCTTCCTGCATGTTGTTGGCCAATTCCCAGGTTTTCTGGGCCATACCGCTCCCGGACGCCGCCATCGCCGAGGAAGCGGAGAGGCTGTCGTATCCACAACCAAGGGGCAACTTTACCTCGTTAGGTCTCCAGGTGTGGGCCTTGGACCCTCCGCGCCACCTGAGCAAACTCTAGTTAACTAGACTCTTGGGGCAGCCATGACACCTAGAACCGGAGGTGAAGATGGTACAGACCATTCAGAGAAGACAGGGGTCTTTCGGGGACGTGACGATATAAACAGCATTTATAGCAATAGGGAGAGACGAATCTTCTTGTGGTTTAAATAAGAACATCTTGACTCGGGAAATTGCATATGTGAAATGAACAAACAAAATTATAGGCTATGGTAATGGTATAGTCTTCCGCACCGGAAGACGGGCATGTAACGTTATGCCAGAAACTGGGATTTACCTTCTCTGTTTGTAGTGCGCAGACTCGGCCTCCGCCATATTAAAGGTAGGTGGAGCCTAGCATGTTGGGGGGCGGAAAGTGTTTTTGTGTGGGTATAGGTGCCTTAAACGAGATAAGTTTGTTGAAAGACTAAAAGGTAAGGCTGTCTGCTGTAAAACTGAGCTATACGTCGTTATGGAAGCTTGTTGAGAGGAAGATAAACATGGCATTCAAGTTGACTTCAAGGTGATTCATTGCATATGCGTAAAAGCTCACTGGCTTGTGGTGGCTTGGCACTTCGCATGCAGATTGGCTTTTTCCAGAGTTGCGAGGATGCGGTGGGTACTCCTTGATTGATATTACCATGCCTTTTTGCGAGTCGGTAAAAGTTAACATCTGCATATGAATTATGTGCCATTACTGATCTGAAAATGCCCAGTACTCAGTTCTTTTAACAGGTTACAGTTAAATCTTTGGCACTGCTGTGAACCTCATTTGTTCCCAAGGCGTAATTAATCTCTGCAACTGGTTAGTTTTCTTCCTACACTTAATACTATTTTTTATTATTTTATTAGTTAGCATGTTTTAGATTTTCTTTTTTATCCATCTCATTCCTCCATCCGCGCAAAATTTTAAGTTTCAAGACGCAGGGAGCAAGTCTGCTTTCCTTGTTTTATCCCCTAGCACCTAGCACAGGTGTTCAATATATATATTTTTTTTCTGAAAAGATAGCATCACAGGCTAGGCGCGGTGGCTCACACCTGAAATCCCAGCACTTTGGGAGGCCGAGGTGCACGGATCACTTGAGGTCAGGAGTAAGACCAGCCTGGCCAACATGGTGAAACTCCATCTCTGCTAAAAGAAAAAAAAAAAAAAAAAAAAAAAAAATTAGCCAGGCGTGTTGGGACGCACCTGTAGTTCCAGCTACTTAGCAGGCTGAAGCAGGAGAATCGCTTGAACCCGGGAGGCGGAGGAGGTTGCAGTGAGCCGAGCCATTTTTTTCTTTTTTTTTCTTTTTTGAGATAGAGTTAGGCCCTGTCCCCTCAAAAAAGAAACAATAAAACAGAAAAGATAGCCTTATAGCTATTAACAACCTGATCCCTATGCACCTCTTCCAGCTTCATCTCTCTTTAGTCTCTACTGAAACTTTTCATTCTCGCAATGCAAATATCTTTACTTTGGCTTTGCATATGTGGTCAGCATTGCTTGAAATGCTCCTTTCTAACTTTTTTGCTTGGGAACTCATATTAATCTTTAAATATACAACCCAGTGATACTGAACACAAACTCCTTGACACTCCGGTGACCATTCCTTCCACGATGTCTCTCTCTGTAGGTGCTTCTATGACTGTTACAATGCGTTGAAACAATCAGTTAGAACAGAAACATTGGAATTATCGAATCCACACCACAGTTTGCAGTTTTGGCACTGACTTTCAGTTGAAGAAAATTTGCTTTAAAACCATCTCTTGCAAAGAAATTTAGAGTAAAATAGTACATTACTATCTACCCTTAGTTCCACTTTCTGGGAAACTAGAGGTCACTTTTCTAGTGGTAGCATATGGCCATATGCTATTGGGGTGAACTGAATAACATGTTGAAAATGGTAATGAAAGCCTAGGACCCAACGTTGACCACACTCCTGGGCTAGGAGTAATGGTATGCTAACACTTTTCCTCTCAGTACCACCCCTCGCCATTATTCTTTTCAGGGTCTGACACTGTTCCCAAGTTGTGTGGTGCCTAAGAGGTTGGAAAGGCTGGAATAGATTTAGCCTGATAAGTGGCTTCCACGGTTTAACAGCCGCTGGGCTCAGCAGGAGAACGAATTTTCCAAGTCCCTTGCCAAGGTGCGGGCGAACCCTGAGAGCGGCGGGCAGCTATGCAGCCTCCGGGACAGCAGGGGGAGCTGTCTGCCTCGCGGCCGCCTGCACTGCGGGCAGGGCCGCGCTCGGCGGTTGGCGAAGGGCGGGCGGAGGGCTCGGCCTGAGAGGCGGAGCAACGGCCGGGAGTCTGTCACGCTGTTTCCGCGCCGAGCGGTCGTTCCTCTCTGTTAGGTCCGCAGCTATCCTCTCTTGAGCACTGTGCGTGTCCCCGGTCGCGGGCCCGCTCTCCTTAGTAAGAGTCTGCCAGCCGCGGATGGGGAGCGTGAGCGGCGGGGCATGCCGCGGAGTGGTGTGGAGTGAGGAAGGGGGTCCGGGGCTGCATTCGGCGGAGCGGGGGCAAGCGCTCCCTCGGGGCGTAGGTCTCGAGGCTGTAAGGCCGGCGGCGTGCCGGAGTTACGAGCTCCGGAGTATGGGGGTGGGAGGGGGTTTCTTGTCCACCAGGGGGGTCTCGTGGCTGCTGGACGCGATGGGGTAGGTTCCCGAGTTACGGGTGTGGAGAGGTGGGGTCTCGCGGCCGTGGGGCCGGCAGCGGTGACTGAGTTATGAGGGTTGGAGACGAGAGTTCCCTGTGGGCTGGGGTCTCCCGGCTGCCGGGCTCGGGGAGGGGCCCTAGTTACGCGGTCCGGATTCCTGGGCCACCGCGGTCGCCGCCGCCCGCTGTGTTGCTGAGAGCTGGTTGCCTGACAACGCACTAACGCTTCCTGGTCGGCCACCTCCGGCGCCCGGGAGCGAACGGTGCCTTGGTTCCCAAGCGCCTTCTCGCCGACGGCGGGGCCTCCGCGGCTCGGTCAAGCCTCCACGAGCGCATTTCTTGCTTTTCGGTGCTTGTTATTGTTTACGTGGGAGCGCTTGTGCTCACTGCTTTGCTAGTAAAACTTACTTAAACTTCACCATAGCTCGGTACTATTGTTATCCTATTTTCCCCTGTGATTGCCCGGCTGCTTGTGCTTGAATCTCTTGTTTCTAATTGCCTTGATTTTAGGAATCGTACATGGGACTCGAATCCAGGTGTCAGTACTTGTTATTAATGGGACTATCTTTAGAGAGCGCCTAGCTCTCAAGATTGTAGGTTTAAGACGCTTAACTAGGATTTCCGGGAAGGCTAAATTCTGAAGTAAACCACCACCTAACGTCCAAACACCTTGGAAAATGCAGGGGCCTAAAAGCAACCAATAGGAATTTGTAAAAACCTACTTTTCGTTAGGCTCTATTCTGTGTGAAAGAATGACTTGTCATGTTGACGAGCAACATGGAAACTATTGAGGTACTTTCTTTTCTCTGTATCATTCTCCCTAGGAGGTCATTGGCTTTCTGATGATTAAATGTCTGCTGAAATGTCCTACAAGGATCGAGTTTTGGGTCTCTCTCTCGCTCTCGCGCTCTCTCTCTCTAAACACAGAATCTCTTTTTAAAGACGGAGTCTCGCTCTGTCGCCCAGGCTGGAGTGCAGTAGCGCCATCTTGGTTCTTTGCAGCCTCCCTCTTCCGGGTTCAAGCAGTTCTGCCTCAGCCTCCTGAGAAGCTGGGACTACCGGTGCACGCCACCATGTCCAGCTAGTTTTTCTAATTTTAGTAGAGATGGGGTTTCACTTTATTGGCCACGCTGGACTTGACCTTCTGACCTCAAGTGATCCGCTTGCCTCGGCTTCTTAAAGTGGTGGTGGGATTACAGCCCTGAGCTACTGTGCCTGGCCAAGTTTGGGTCTTCAGCCAGATGACCTTCTGGGAGGGAGGGAGTGAGTTTAGACAGTAAATTGAAACAGGATACTTTAGTAGTTTTTCTCAAATGAAGCTTTCAGACAAATATGATTTAACTGTTACACATTTGAGCAGATTTCAGATTATCCTTTTAACATCATTCTGACTTCGATTCTGATGTGCTTTCCTGAGTGGCAGGCAAGGGTGTTTGAGCAAGTGTTTCAGCAATTTTGCTAATTTATGCTGCTGCCCTTAATCACCATTAAGGGTGTATTATTAACAGCTGCTGAAAGATTTCAACCTGTATATATTTATTCACTCTCTCTTTGTATCCTGTCTCCCAGCCTCCCTCTACTTCCCTCAGCAACAGTATTTATGTCTTAGCAGTATTTAGGGAAATGTATCAAAATTTGGGTGTACCCATGGGAGTAGGTTGCTAATGTGGATGCCATCTGCTAGGAGAAAGAAGAAGAACCTTGCATTCAGTAGATGGATCTTTGGATGGACAAGAAGTGAGAAATATTGTCCTGGTCACTTTGTCCCTCCCTCTCTTCTAAGGCTCTTTCACTGGCCCCTCTCCCCACCCGCCATGTTATCACACTTTGATACCTGTTCTAGGTCCTGTTCCTCTACTCTAGGGCCTCTTTTTTCCATACAAAACTTCTCCCACAGCCTTAATGATTATTTTAAACACTGCTAGATCTTAATTTCCAGCCTGGGTTCTTTTCTGAGTTCTGTTTTTCAGATTGTTTTCTTTATATCTCCAGTACATCCATTACGGGTATCACATATTTAGCTCCTAAACCCCTGTCAGCCACTGTGGCAGGCGGAGTTATCTTGTTCCAATTTGAGGACAAGAATCATGTGTGTAAATATATATATATACACACACGCACATATATTTATTGTTGTTGTTTGTTTTTGTTTTTTTGAGACAGTCTTACTCTGTCACCCTTGCAGGAGTGCAGTGGCACCATCTCGGCTTACTGCAACCTCTGCTTTCCCGGTTTAAGCAATGGTTCAGCCTCCTGCCATGCCCAGCTTATTTTTGTAGTTTTAGCACAGACAGGATTTTGTCATGTTGGCCAGCCTGGTCTCAAACTCCTGACCTCAAGTGATCTGCACATCTTGGCCTCCTAAAGTGCTGGGATAACAGGTGTGAGCCACCGTGCCCGGCCACATTTTGTATTTTTGATCCCCCCAGCCTCTAGCACTATATCCTGCTATAGGAGGGGAGTCCTTTTCCGTTTCTCATGCTCCCATAGTGGGGAGGAAATTTGTACTACACTCCTTGAGGGGGAAAGGATAGGAGCAACATTTCCCCATCTTTTTGTGGCTGATGAATTTGTGAGAAAGAATTGGGGAAACTCATTTCTTACTGGGTTCTGTTTATTGGATTCGATTAGACTTAGCAGAATGGGTAGTTCTGATCTGCTTATATCTATATGATAAGCATAAAGAGCCAAAGTTTAAGATTTAGAGATGTTGGTGTGGATTATAATAACCAAGTATCAATTATTGGTGATTTAAATCTCAGCATACTTTATGTTTGGAGGCTCTGTTTTTAAGAGGTAAATCTTCATACATACAAAGATATAAAGATGAAACAATAAACAATAAAATAATTGATCTGTTGATTTCCTTTTTTTTATTTTTTTATTTTTATTTTTTTTGAGACTGAGTCTCTCTCTCTTGTCCAGGCTGTAAGTACAGTGGCATAATCTGGGCTCACTATAACCTCCGCCTTCTGGGTTCAAGTGATTCTCCTCCCTCAGCCTCCAGAGTAGCAGACCACAGACATATGCCACCATTCCTGGCTAATTTTTGTATTTTTAGGGTGGGTTTTGTTATGTTGGCCAGACTGGTCTCAAACTCCTGACCTCAGGTGATCCACTTGCCTTGGTCTCCCAAAGTGCTGGGATTATAGGAATGGCCTGATCTGTTGATTTCTAAGTGTTAGGTTTTCTGTCATACTTTTTATATGCATTATTTGTTTTTTCTTCATAATATACTGGAGTAAATGGTATTTCAATTTTATAGATTAGGCATAGAGCAGTTAAGGAACATTCTTGAGGTCATTTACATTGAGATCAATAGTGATAGAAATATATTTCAAATCCAGGTCTTTCAATTAAACTGTTTTCCTGAAAACTGTTCATCATTTCCACACTAAGTACACAGCTACTGGAGAAATAATACTTGGCCATGATGTCTTGAAAAAGTTGTGACTTTATATTATAGAGTGTCAGAGAGAGAAATAATCCCATTTAGGTTTCTTTCAGCTGATTTATTTTTAGCAACTTAATTCTTAAATTATAAATTTTCTTACTCTATTTTATACATGTGCCATAGTTATTAATGCAGTCTCGGTGATTCACCAAGTAATTCTTGAATAATTGTGTAGTTGAAATGTTTTATGTAAGCTGTCACATGTTTTTAGGAGTGAGAAAAAGAAAAATGGCTGTGACAGCTAGAAACTGGTGTTGCTAGAAACTAGCCTGGCATTCACAGTAACTTTGTGTTTTTCTGTTGAAGATAAACTGTTGTACAGAACATCAGCATCAGATAAGACCACTCTGTGTCTGTGATGGATCAAGACAAAAACATTCAATCATTGTGTCCAAACACAGACAAAACACAAATGTTGGGGATGATCTCTGTCTATCAAGAGTGAGGCCAGATTAGGCTACCGTACTACAGCCTGAATGATCAAGACACAAAATACCAAATATTTCCTCTCCCAGCTGATATGAATAACTACTACTTGTTTGCCAGTTACAGCATTAGCACCCTTGCCCCTGCCACCGTATTTTAGATTTATTGAGTGGTACCATCATAGAATTAACCCCACTTCTAATAGTGTTCAATCCTGAGCACACCACCACGCCTGGCTAATTTTTGTATTTTTAGTTGAGATGGGGTTTTGCCATGTTTGCCAGGCTGGTCTTGAACTCCTGACCTCAGGTGTTACACCCGCCTTGGCCTCCCAAAGTGTTGGGATTACAGGCGTGAGCCACCGCACTCGGCCTAGATAAATGACATTTCTGTTTAAATTCTGTGCAAAATTTTATAGCAAAATATATGCATTATTTCATCATTTTATTCCTGTCAGACATAGACTATTTAGGAAAATTAGCGGATTTTAAGGAGTGATTTTTCTAAACATGAAAACTTGTTTGCTGTTGAGTTGTTCAGATTTTTTTCTTAGGAAAAGTCTTTTGTGACAATTAGCAAATTAAAAATGGCTGAAATAGGGTGAGCATAGCGGCTGGCAGCTATAATCCCAGCAACTCTGGTGGCCACAATGTGGGGAGGATCACTTGAGTCTAGGAGTTCAAGGTTACAGTGAACTCTGATCGTGACACTGCACATCAGCCTGGGCAACAGAGCGAGACCTCATCTCTAAAAACCAAAAAAAAAAAAAAAAAGAAATTGGTCAAAATCTATCAACTTTTGTTGATTTGAAATATATTTTGCTAAAACTATATGTGTAAATGTATTTATTTTTATTTTTTTAATTTTTAATTTTTTTTTGAGATGGGATCTTGGTGTATTGCCCAGGCTGGAGTGCAGTGGCATGCCTGTAAGCTCACTGTAGCCTTGATTTCCTGGTCTCAAGTGATCCAGTCCTCCTGCCTCAGCTTCCCAAACAGCTGGCACTACAGGATGCACCACCATGCCTGGCTAATTATTTTTATTTTTATTTTTATTTTTAGTAGAGATGAGATCTTCTTGTGTTGTCCAGGCTGGTCTTGACTTCCTGCGCTCAAGTGATTCCCACCTTGGCCTCTCAAAGTGCTGGGATTGCAAGTGTGAGCCACCAAGCCCGGCCTAAAGCTGTATTTTAAAATCAGTGTTCCTTTTGGTAGTAAATAATAGCATGAAGTTTACATTATGTACTGTTTACCTGATAAAAGTTTCGAAATACTCTTTTAGGTAAAGCCCGCTTTCCTACAATTATATATATGTATACATATACATATATGTGTATACATTTTTTTTTTTCAAATTATTTTTGTTCCAAACGTTAAGTTCACCGGATGCTTTTTTTTTTTTTTTTTTTTTTTTTTTTTTTTTTTTGAGACGGAGTTTCGCTCTTGTTACCCAGGCTGGAGTGCAATGGCGCGATTTTGGCTCACCGCAACCTCCACCTCCCGGGTTCAGGCAATTCTCCTGCCTCAGCCTCCTGAGTAGCTGGGATTATAGGCACGCGCCACCATGCCCAGCTAATTTTTTGTATTTTTAGTAGAGACGGGGTTTCACCATGTTGACCGGGATGGTCTCGATCTCTTGACCTCGTGATCCACCCGCCTCAGCCTCCCAAAGTGCTGGGATTACAGGCTTGAGCCACCGCGCCCAGCTTTTTTTTTTTTTTTTAAGTAACTTGCTTGCATTTGATATTGTTCACCAGTTCCATTTTGTATCTCTTTTCCACTTCTCTTCAATGAATTATGCTGATTGGATTTGTTTCATAACCCTGCTTTAATTATTCCTTTTCCCCCCCACCCGGCTTCAATTCTTCTGTCATTCCCTCAAGTGAACATTGCCTGGTGTATAGTTCTGGGTCATCTCTCTTTTTCCCTGCCTGTGCTCATTGATTGGGACTAATACTTAGTTAACTCTTAAACATCTCTAATGTAGTTCATTTTCTTGAATTTGAATCTTGAATTTCTGACCATCTGCTGGAAATTTTCAGTAGCACATCTTAAATGTGTAAATCCAACCTTTCTGAACCTTCCAACTTGCTCTGACTTACTTCTGTCCAAGATTCTGTCTACATTTGGCTTCCAGGCCTTAAAACTTTGATCATTTGTGGCTTTTTTTTTTTTTTTTTCCCCTGCATACCCAATTATATGCTAACTTTCCTGGGACTTTGGAAGATGTGTTTGGAAAAAAATTCTCGGTTAAATGAGGAAAGGTTAGTCTTTTCAAAAAATGGTGCTGGAATATGCAAAAAAGTTGAGCCTGACCCTTATAGATTTGCAAAAATTAACTTTGAATGGATCATAGATTAAATGTAGGAAGAAAAAAACTAAAAAATTTATAAAGAAAATAGTTGTGATCTTGGGTTAGGCAAAGATTTTTTTAGATAGAACACAAAAAGTACAAACAATAAATTAATTAAAAAATTGACAAAATTCATAAATTGGACTTGATAAAAATCTAAAGCTTTCACTATTAAAAATACATTATTCAGAAAACTTACAAACCACAGATTGACAGAAAATATTTTTACAAAGCAAGTTAAATAAAGAACTTTAATCAAGTATATAGAAAGAAATCTTACAATTCAATAGTAATAAAATAACCTGCTGGGCTTGGTGGCTCATGCCTGTAATCTGATCACTTTGGGAGGCTGAGGCAGGAGGATCATTTGAGTCCAGGAATTGAAGGGGTAACATTGTGCTATGATCATACTGCTCTAGCCTGGGCAACATAGTGAGATCCTGTGTCTGCAATAAACAAACAAATGAAAAAACTGACTGGGCATGGTGGTACTTGCCTGTAGTCCCAGCTACTCAGGAGGCTAAGGTGGGAGGATTGCTTGAGCCCAGGAGTTCAAGGCTGCAGGTGCACTGTGATGGCAACACTGCACTCTAGCCTAGGTGACAAGGTGAGAGCCTGTCTCTAAAAAATAAAACCTAATTTAAAAAAAGACAGATTTGAGTAGACACTTTCCCAATGATTATATATATGGTGAATAAATAGATGAAAAGTTGCTCAACATCATAGTTATCAGAGAAATGCAGATTAAAATCTTAGAGATACCACTAAATACACAATAGAATGACTAAGATAAAAATGACTGAAAATACCATGCCTTGGTGAGGATGTGTAGAAATTGCAATTGTCATACACATTCACTTACATTCTTAAACACCGGAATGTAAAATGGTACTTTATATTTTGAGGAACAGTTTAGCAGTTCAGAAATTAGACAAGATCATAAAGATGATCATCATAAAGGTGATCATCTTTAGTGGTCATCATAAAGGTGATCACCTTGTCAGTGATCAAAAATAACATCACTGAGGAGGGGCAGGTGAGTATGATGTGCTTTCTCTTTGTGACACCTTGAGATTTCATCTAAGTATTTCCTGTGAGAATGCATAATCTAAATTTAGTTATGAAGAAAAAACACCAGGCACACCCCAGATAAGGGATGTTCTATTGAAAAGGATGGGTAGTGGATAGATAGTATTTAAAAATATTAATGTCATAAAAGACAAAGAAAGATGGTAGAGATAGATGTTCCAAACTGAAGAAGGCAAAAGAGCAGTAAACTGCAATACCCAACTTATGTGGGCTGCTATTGAGTCAGTTGACAAAAGTGGAATATTGACAATAGATTAAAAAATCAATGTTAGAGAAGTTGAATAATTATATTGAGGTTATGTAAGTAAATAATTCTTAAGACACATACACTGAAGAGTTTAGGGGCAAAGGGCTATGATATATGTACTTTATCCTCTGAATAATTTTAGAAAAAATTGTGTATGCATGTATGGAGAGAATGACCTTGTGTGAATAAGCAAAGGAATGAAGCAAGTGGAGCAAAATCTTAATAGGGAATTAATAAAAACTCTTTGTGTGTCCTTGGTATCATTATTGTAACTTTTCTGTAAGTTAGAAATTATCTCCCAAGAGTTAAAAAAAAACTTTTTTTTTTAAAGTTCTTTGGCTTAAGGATTTAAAGAGCTTTTTGTTTGCTTGCTTTTGTTTTTTTTGCTAGGGAGGGGCATGTATGGATGGTGGTGGTAGTTTTTCATTTTATTTCAGATATTTTAAATTATATTGGCTGGGTGCAGTGGCTCACGCCTGTAATTTCAGCGCTTTAGGAGGCCGAGGTGGGCATGTCACCTGAGGTTGGGAGTTCACGACCAGCCTGACCAACATGGAGAAATCTGGTCTCTACTAAAAATACAAAAAATTAGCTGGGTGTGGTGTCGCATGCCTGTAATCCCAGCTACTTGGGAGGCTGAGGTAGGAGAATCACTTGAACCTAGGAGGTGGAGGTTGCAGTGAGCCCAGATGGCGCCATTGCACTCCAGCCTGGGCAACAAGAGTGAAACTCTATCTCAAAAAGAAGTATACTGTAGGCTTCTTAGGGAAGTTGGGAGAGGCAGTAGGCAGGCATATTTATGATCAGTCTTAAGTTTGAACTTCTCAATTTGATAAGTGAGATTGAAAACTAAATGTGGACTAACTGTACATGTTGATAATTAGGCCAAAAATACTGTGACATAGATATGCTTATTGAAAATTGTTTTTTTAAAGAATCTGCAAAATGGCTGATAATTTCGATGAATTTATTGAAGAGCGAAAAGCCAAATTGGCCAAAGACAAAGCAGAGTTGGAAAGTGATCCACCTTACATGGAAATGAAGGTAAACTTAATAATTTTCTTTGAACATGTTTTATTATAATTGTCGATGGAGATTACTCCTGTGTAAATGCAAAACATCCTCTTCTATGAGTGAGAATCTTGTTTCATACTATGCTGTTATTCTGAGAGCCTGACTCCAGACAAGATTGCAGTTATTTTGAATGCAGTTTTTCTTTTGTGGTGTTTTGTGTCTCACAGTGTTTCTCTTATCTCTTGTTGAAGAATTATTTGCTTCATAAAATGATTATGAGACCAGTTTTATTACAGAGAACTTATGCAACATAAACAGAACAGTAGTAAAGGCAAGTTTTTATATTCTGTGTGGAAAAAGTTCAATTTATTGAATTAGTTTAAAAAGCTTTTTTTTTGAAATCTGCAAAAGTGGATTTATTAGGATAATTTATTTTGTACTATTCATGTTTCATAACATAAATTTCTTAAAATAATTGGTTTTTGTTTGTTTTGAGACAGAATTCACTCTGTTGCCCAGGCTGGAGTGCAGTGGTGCAATCTCGGCTCACCACAACCTCTGCCTCCTGGTTTCAAGTGTTTCTCCTGCCTCAGCCTCCTGAGTAGCTGGTACTCTAGGCACAAGCCACCATGCCTGCCTAATTTTTGTATTTTTAGCATAGAGGGGTTTTCACTATGTTGGCCAGGCTGGTCTCGAATTCTTGATCTGGTGATCTGCCTACCTCAGACTTCCATAGTGCTGGGATTACAGGTCTAAAATAATTGTTTCTTAAAGCAGCGTTTAAAAGGCTTTCTTAAAGCTTTCCTTGTTCTGGTGAAACTGATTTATCGATTTAGCAAATATTTACTGAGGGTTGTATTAGGTACTGTGCTAAGCTCTGAGAATACAGCACTGATGGAGTGTTATGGCATCTTCTCAAAGCTCAGTTTGTATCATAAGATAGAGCATGTAGTTTAATCTGTGCCATATGGTTCATCATAATGAGAGTCACCATTTATATTGGTTTGTCCAAGATGATCTTGGTTTACCTGTTGTCCAGTATTTGTTTGTTTGCTTTTTTTTCTGATTTAGCATTTGTTCTGGACAAAGATATCTTGGCTGAGATGATAAATAATATAGATAGCCTAATTATAAAGTAGTTTTATTCACATAGCTAACATTTATTGAGTGCTAACTATGGACAAGGCATAGTCTTAAGAGGTTATATTTCATGGTAATCTATGAGGTAAGTGCTGTTATTATAAATTTTTCCAGATGAGTAAATTGAGGCAAATTAAAGTAATGAGACTAAGGCGGTAGAGTTGGTGAAACTGGGCTTTTATCCCTGACAGACGGGCTCCAGCGTGTGTCCTTGGAACAAACATAATTGGTTGCCTTCCTTCCATAATAGTCTGTCATGTACCAAGAATGCCAAGGACTTTCTATGTATCATTTTATTTAATCATAATATTCCTGTTAAGTAGGTGAAATTTTTTTGTTTTATAAATTAAGAAAGTGAAGCTCACAGGGGTTAAGTAATTTGTCCAAGTCCACACAGTGGTGGATTCAGGATTGGAACCTTTATGCAGCTCCAGAGTCTTATCTCTTAACCACTCTCTGGTAGTTAGGACCAGCCTATGGCTTTGGAGTTTACATAATTTGGAATACATAGCTTTAAATACAGTTTTATTATAATTTCTAATATTAATTTGTACATAAATAATCTGAGTCTTAGTACAAGTATCACCTGCTCAGTGAGTCCCTCCCCCAGCATTTCTGGGCCTCCTTATTTTGATCTATTTTTTTTTTCCATAACTCCTTCCTGCCACTGTCTGCATATCACATAATCATGTGTTGAGTTCATTATGTGTCCCTCCAGTAGTTTATAAGCTTTATGATGGCAGAAATTCTTGTATTTTTTAAAACTTGTATATCTTCAGTGCTTGACAAAATGCCTGGCACTTAATGGGAACTCAGTAAATATTTGTTGGTAAGTAAATGATTAAGTATTAGAATATCTATTATAAAATTTAAATACCTTTGGTTAATTCCTCAAACCTTACACTTAGTTTCTTCTAATTTCATCAAGCTGTTTAATTAAAATTTGAGACGGGTTGTATATTTCATGTTTTTTTCCCCCTTTGCCTTTGTAAATATTATGTCTCTTTCAGGGAAAGTTGTCAGAGAAGCTTTCTGAAAACAGTAAGATGCTGATCTCTATGGCTAAGGAAAACATACCACCAAATAGTCAACAGACCAGGGGTTCCCTAGGTATGTCATTAGATGTGTTAAACTTATTTTAAGATATCCTTAGTGGGCTCTTCTGAAAGAGGTTTGTCTTGTCAGAAAAAAAGATTTCTTTGGAATCCTAGTAATTTTTCTTTCTGGAATCTTATGTAAGTCAATATGGTCTACATATGAAATAGAACTCATACTGAAAACTTTGTACTTGTTTTATGTGATACTGCCTTGGTTATGATTTGTAGAACTTACAGAAGTAGGTGTGTATAACATAACTTAAAATTGAGAACTTTTAATGAAATTTGTGTGTCTGTGAGAGAGAGAAGAGAAACTGTTTTATTTGTTGAATAAAAGTAGTGAACTTGCTTATTTAAAAATTAAAGAAATATGCTTAAAGGGTACAAAATGCTGTTTGGTGAAAGACCATTTTAATTATTGATGACCATGTTGGAGTTGTAAAGAAGTCAATACTGTAGCCATACTAATGCTTTGGTTGTGGTATGGTATGAAAACATTTGGAAACTTTTTACCACATTTTTGCTTGTTGGTAGGTATGCATTTTTTAAAAAGAAAATATTTGAATATGTAAAAATTTTATTTATTTATTATTTTAAAGAAAAGCTCTCTCTTTCACCTAGGCTAGAGTGCAGTGGTATGATCATAGTTCAGTGTTACCTTGATCTCCTGGGTTCAAGCAATCCTCCCGCCTCACCCTCCTAAAGCACTACAATTATAGGCATGAGCCACTGTGCCCAGTTTGTATGAATATATATATATTTAAATATACAAACTGGGCACAGTCATGTACCAAGAATGCCAAGGACTTCATATGTATCATTTTAGTGTATATATATATATATATATATATATATATATATATATATATATACTTTGTGTGTGTGTGTGTGTGTGTGTATATATGTTACTGTGCCCAGTTTGTATGAATATATATATTCATATATGTGTGTGTATATATATGTATTTTTCCCCCCCTCAAGACTGAGTCTGGCTCCGTCACCCAGGCTGGAGTGCAGTGGCACGATCTCAGCTCACTGCAACCTCCACCTCCCAGGTTCAGTTGATTCTCCTGCCTCAGCCTCTCAAGTAGCTGGGATTGCAGGTGTGTGCCACCACACCCAGTTAATTTTTCATATTTTTGGTAGAGGCAGAGTTTTACTATGTTAGCCAGGCTGGTCTTGAACTTGTGACCTTATGTGATCCACTCGCCTGCCTCGGTTTCCCAAAGTGCTGGGATTACAGGTGTGAGCCACTGTGCCTGACTGACCTGTATGAATATTTTTAATGTGCATTTTGTGATTTATTGATGATGACAAACTTTTTCACAAAAAGAAAGTCAACTATGATAAGTTCTTTGGTTAAAGCATTGTTCTCAAATGGACAGCTTTTCATACTCCTAAACTGTTTTTGTATGCCAGTGGATACAAGGAGATGACGGCTAAGAAACTGACTAGTTAGTAAGCTTTTTTCTCTCTCTCTCTCTCTTTTGAGACGGAGTCTTGCTCTGGCTCTGTCACCAGGCTGGAGTGCAGTGGCGAAATCTCGGCAGACTGCAACCTCCGCCTCCTGGGTTCAAGCTATTCTTTTTTTTAGACGGAGTTTCGCTCTTGTTACCCAGGCTGGAGTGCAATGGTGCGATCTCGGCTCACTGCAACCTCCGCCTCCTGAGTTGAGGCAATTCTCCTGCCTCAGCCTCCTGAGTAGCTGGGATTACATGCACGTGCCACCATGCCCAGCTAATTTTTTATATTTTTAGTAGAGATGGGGTTTCACCATGTTGACCAGGATGATCTCGATCTCTTGACCTCGTGATCCACCTGCCTCGGCCTCCCAAAGTGCTGGGATTACAGGCTTGAGCCACCGTGCCCGGCTGGTTCAAGCTATTCTTCTGCCTCAGCCTCCCAAGTAGCTGGGACCACAGGTGCATGCCACCATGCCCAGATAATTTTTTTGTATTTTTAGTAGAGATGGGGTTTCACCGTGTTGGCCAGGATGGTCTTGATCTCTTGACTTTATGATCCGCCCCCCTCAGCCTCCCAAAGTGCTGGGATTACAGGTGTGAGCCACTGAGCCTGACCTAAGTTTTTTCTATTAGATAAATAGTTCAAAAGAGAGTGCCCTACTTTTAGTATCAGATATATAGATAACTCTTTCCATTTTGAATCTCTTGTAATTTATTAATATACAGCATTAGTGAAGCAAAGTATATATTGGTAAAATTTTTTAATCTCTAAGGCTCTCAATTTCTTTCTCTGTGAAATAAGTTTGATTATCTTCCAGCCCTATGTTTTTATGAATCGAAATTTTAATTTTTCCAAGAGATAATTTTTTAGAAGTTTTTTTTTCTTTTTTTTTTTTTAACAGTTGAATTTTTCTTTTTTTTTTTTTTAATTGCGTTTTAGGTTTTAGGGTACATGTGAAGAACATACAGGATTGTTGCCTAGGTACATACATGGCAATTTGATTTGCTGCTTTTCTCCCCATTACCTATATCTGGCATTTCTCCCCATGCTAACACTCCCCAACCCCCCACCCCCTGCTGTCCCTCCCCTATTTCCCCTCAACAGACCCTGGTTTGTGATGCTCCTCTCCCTGTATCCATGTGTTCTCATTGTTCAACACCCACCTATGAGTGAGAACATGCGGTGTTTGATTTTCTGTTCCTGTGTCAGTGTGCTGAGAATGATGGTTTCCAGGTTCATCTGTGTGTCTACAAAGGACACAAACTCATCGTTTTCTATGGCTGCATAGTGTTATTCCATGGTGTATATGTGCCACATTTTCCCTGTCCAGTCTATCATTGATGGACATTTGGGTTGGTTCCAGGTCTTTGCTATTGTAAACAGTGCTGGAATGAACATTCGTGTGTACATGTCCTTATAGTACAACGATTTATAATCCTTTGGATACATACCCAGTAATGGGATTGCTGGGTCAAATGGAATTTCTATTTCTAGGTCCTTGAGGAATTGCCACACTATCTTCCACAATGGTTGAACTAATTTGCACTCCCACCAACAGTGTAAAAGTGTTCCTATTTCTCCACATCCTCTCCAGCATCTGTTGTCTCCAGATTTTTTAATGATCGCCATTCTAATTGGTGTGAGATATCTCGATGTTTGCATTTCTCTAATGACCAGTGATGATGAGCATTTTTTCATATGTTTCTTGGCCTTATGTATGTCTTCTTTTGACAAGTGTCTGTTCATATTCTTCACCCAGTTTTTTAAAAAGTTTAAAGTAGGTTATCTCAGGCAGTAAGGTCACTAAGGTCAGACAGAATTCCTTTTAAATTCTAGGGATACAGATTGCTTTGGATTGTGCTTGACGCCTTTATGACCTGTCAGGAGCTAAACTTTGTCTCCTTATATAATGGCATCTATCTCAAAAAGTCGTTATGGGCAAAAGTTAAATATGTGAAAAGATGGCTGGTACATAATTGGTACACAATGAATATTAATTTCTTTTTCCCCTTTACATCTTTTTTTTTGTTTTGAGACAGGGTCTCACTCTGTCACCCAGGCTGGAGTACAGTGGCATAATCTTGGCTCTCTGCAGCCTCCACTTTCAGGCTTAAGTGATCCATCCTTCTCCCACGTTAGCCTCTGAGAAGCTGAGACCACAGGGTTACACCACCATACTGGGCTAATTGTTTTTTTTATATACATGTATTTTTTTATAGAGGTGAGGTTTCGCTGTGTTGTCCAGGCTGGTCTCAAACTCCTTAGCTCAAGTGATCTGCCTGCCTCGGCCTCCCGAAGTGCTGGGATTACAGGTGTGAGCCACTGTGCCTGGCCCTTCCATCTTTTTCAAAGTAGTTTTTTGGGTGGGGCATGGTGGCTCACCCCTGTAATCCCAACCCTTTGGGAAGCCAAGGCGGGTGGATCACTTGTGGTCAGGAGTTCAAGACCAGCCTGGACAACATGATGAAATCCTGTCTTTACTAAAAATATAAAAAAATTAGCCGGGCATAGTGACATAGGCCTGTAATCCTAGCTACTTGGGAGGCAGAGGTGGGAGGATCGCTTGAACCCAGGGGGCAGAGGTTGCAGTGAGCCAAGATCATGCCACTGCATTTCAGTCTGGGTGACAGAGAGATTCCATCTCAAAAAAAGAAAAAAGTAGTTTTTTGAATTGTCTTAGGAATTATTCTGTGATCATTACATTCACATATGATGGAGAGTTAAAAGTATGACTTAAAGACAGTGACCTCTGCTTTTTTCTTAATTGGTGTTACTTGGGCCTCTGAACCTAGGCTGTCTTCTCATTTTATACATGCCCCAAGTGTCCACATCTGCTTACAGGGCTTTATTTACTGTTAGTGTGTTCATGACTTCTGAATCTGAATCCCAATCCCAGGTTCTATTATGAAATATGTCTGATATTCTGTTGGATATCCGTACTTGTATGGTCATGTATGTCATGGGCTCAAAATCAAAATTTACAAAATTAACTTATATGCCTGTCAAACTTTCTAGTGCTCCCCATCTCACTGAGCTGGCTGCCTAGTCATCCTCGACTCCTGTCTTCCCCTGCCTCTTATGTCAAGCAGTTACACAAATCTAGTTGATTCTAATGCCTAGATCTCAAATAGGTCACTTTGCTGTAATCCCACTGACTTTCTTTTATGCAGACCTCTGTTGTCCCTCACTTAGATTTTTGCAAAAACTTCCTAGTGTTTTTGGTTGTTGTTTTGTTTTATAGTCTAACCCCTTCTACCAAGTCTCTGTATAGTTTTTGATATATTCACATAAACCAGTTCTGATCATATTAGTCTCTGCTTCAAACCCTTCAATGGCTTCTTTTCTTCTTATATGATAAATTTGCCATCTTATTACTTCTAGATTGAGTTGGCCAGTCCTGCCATGTGCTTCTAGAGGATTGGTTCTCTTCATGAAGAGTACTTTTGAACTTATTCAGCTTCTCTTTTGTGCTACAATGATATGCCAACTTTCCTCCCATTGTATTTCCACTGCCTAGCACAGTGCCTAGCACTTACTGCTTGGAAAAGA